AACTAAATAAATTTGAAACCTCCTCAGCTTACAACACGTAAAAATCTCTAAAAATATTCTTTTTTTTTTGTAGTTTTTTTTAACGTAGTTGATCTCAAATCTCGATTATTTCACAATATGCTGCTATGAGAACTTGTCGTTAGATTGATCAAAAAGTTTCTGTCATAATTCTGGAATAAATAGCGGTTTGCTGCAAGTCTGGGTCACTTGCTATAGGCTCAGCCTGGACTATTACAAACATCGTAAGTTTAGTGCTAGTTTTATCAAAACAGATTCGAGTTACGATACTCCAAGCAGTAACTTATCGAGATATAGCAGCAATGTGTTCCTAAAGACTCTTATCATCCAATGCATATCGTCTTTTGAATTATTTAGCGTAAGGGAAAGGAATTTCTCAACAGCTATGCTCAAGGAATGGTTCACTTTGAAAGTGCTAGTTTCTTTTTTTTAAGTTTTCTTCTTTGGAAGTCATTAGTAATCTCTTTCAAACACATCAATCTGTTACAGAAGTGACTGAAGTGAAAAATTATCAAAGCACGAACAGTACGTAATCTTAGTGAGCCGCATATGCCAGGTACGGTCCCCTAAAAACCACTGGATCTGGCAACTGACGCTTCATGAGAATAGTTTTCAAAAAAGGTCATCTCAAAATTGAATTTCGAATCCTTGGTTTCACTCCTTTCTTTTTGCCAGAGCAGAAGCAAGAGCGTTTTGATTCACTTTCCCAATAGCATATGGTAGAATGTGGCTGACTGTTTTTTATGGTTACAAAAAATGTTACGAGCGAAGCAAAAGTAATTAACTTTATTGGCAGGACTATCTAGCCAATTTGATGTTTGAAATCAGCATGTAAATTCCTTAAGCATAAGTTGTTGGAGAAATGCATACGGTATAATATTCGTGACCCTTAGTTGTGCGGTATAATCTAAAATTGATAAAAATAACAAGCTCAAAATCTCTGGGGATAAAGGTGTCTTCTGTTTTGTAAATTAAGACTACTTAAGGATGAAAATGTCAATCACTTTGAAAATTTTATTCAAAGACTTGGAGCCATCACAAAAAAATTATTAAGCTTTTCTAAAAAAAGTTTTTCTAAATAATGCTTTAAATCTCAAGTAAACTTACATGTAATAAAATTAAAATTAAAAAATTAAAAATTAAAATATAATAATAGTTTTGATGACCACAACTTGATGTTTACGATCATGTTTGCAATTTTTTGTATATAAAGTTAAATTTATTGTTTTTTACAAGTAGCATCGTAGATACAGAACCTAAACGGGTCAATTAAACCTTTTCTTTCAGTTTTTTGCATAAAAAGTTTGGTATTCTTTGCCAATTTACGAACGAAATTACTATAGGCGGTTGTAAGAGCGAAAAATGTTGCAATAATTGTTTGTTTGTTGAGATTTTTGTTCTTTTCGTAAGCCAATAAACCTACAAAAAAGAAAGCGCTGGTTTAGTGAGGAACTAGAGAACGGTTTCCGAATTCTTTTACAGTACGATAGTATCACTCTAAAAAGTAGTCAGAGCCTTTAAAAAATTGTTTCCAGCATAGCTGCATCTGTGGAGGCGACGAGTAGCAGTGATATATCGTTGTCGGGTACGATCATTGAGCTGAAACATGCCCGTGCACGTCTTGCATCCTACGGAAATCTCAAAAAAGAAGCAGAAAGGGCGGCAGAGAAGATGTTAGCATTGGATGACAACGTTCCTCAATCAGTCAGTCATCTCCTCTCACCTTTTTTCTTGTATAAAGACGTTATACATTGCATTTAAGAAAAAATGTTGCAGATAACGCAATCTACTCGAAAACGTATTCGAGAGTTGGGAGATAAATGGAGAGAGTTGGAGAACACAATAGAGGATCACTTGAGTTGCGCCCGCAAAGAACAAAAGCGATCTGTGCAAAGTACGTGGAAATCGTTTAAAAATCACTACAGTAGAAACAGCTGTCATTGTGTTTACAACATCGCCGAATTTCTGGAGCATTTTTCGCAACAGAGAACTCAGTTAGGGAGTTCCTAGGCTGCTGATTATTTTTCCTACTTTCCGGCCATCATCTCCTTGTTTTTCAAGATCATTCATTCATTTTCAAAACATCGCTTTTAATTCAATTTCCGGATAATCTGTTATATCATAAACTAGATTGGTTAGAAATGCTCAAGTGTCTACCCAAATGTCCAACCGTATGGTCTCCGAGATCCTCACCTCTTTAAACTTCACCTGCTTACCAACATTCC